GACTAACACACCACAAAGTCCATGTTTTTTAGATCAAAAACAGATCTTTTGTCTAACAGATGGTTTATTAGGTAAACAATATTCCCTATTGATTAAAAAAGCACTGGAGTATCCTGTGTGTATTAAGTGCAGCTAGAGTAGATTGAAAGGGAGGTAAAAGATGAGGCCAGAGAGGTAACAGGGATTATGAGTTGTCTCTTAAATCATTGTGAGGACTTTGTTGCTTCATCTGTGGGAGCTGGGAGCCACTGGGGGAGACTTGGGATTTTGAGTGGAGCTGTACTATGGTTTGACTTATGGCTGCACCAGGATCACTGCTGCATGATTTAAGTGGGTAGACATAAAATCAGGAAGGAGTCTGTGGATATTATCTGTGATGGCTAATTTGTGTGTCACCATGGCAGAGTCACAGTGTCTAGACACATGGTCAAACACTGCTCTGGATTTCAGTGAAGGTGTGTTTTGGATTAACATTTGAATTGGTGGACTTTGAGTAAAGCAGATTACCCTACATGATCTGAGTGGGCCTTCTCCAATTTTTTGAAGTCCTGCATACGTCAAAGACTGGCTTCACTTCAGCAAGAAGAAATTCTGTCATCACATGAACTGGTACATGAGATGTGGGCTGCAGCTCTTCCTGGGTCTCCAGTCTGCCCAACAGATTTTGGACTTGCACCTCTATGATGGTGTGAGCTAATTCCTTAAAAGTAAATCTCTCTGTACACATGTCCTGTTCTGGTTCTCTGGAGGACACTGACTAGTACATCATTCAGGCAAGACATAGGATGGTGTATTGGACCAGAAAGGTAGTCAGGGGTGGTAAGCATGGTTGAACTGGGGATATGTTCTTAAGATAGAGGTGAGGACCTTGTAGCTGGGCCAGATACAGGATGTGAGTGGGGAAGTTGTAGGTGGCAAGAAGATTTCTGGCTGAGCAACTGGAAGGTGTTGCTATCAATGGGGAGGGCAAAACTGCAGGAGGATCTGCTCTGTATGGGGGTGGGGGGCTATACCAGAAGTTTGACTTTGAAATGCCTGTTGGCAGTAAATGCAGACAGTCTAGGTTGAGTCAAGTCTGATTGGAATTAAGACATCTGAGGGTTAGGGCTTTGGGCTTAGTAGGGTGAGACCACTCAGACTGCAGGTGCTAAATCCTGGTGGGTGGGTGTAGAGTGAGAAGAGGTCCACAGCCCATGCCATGGTGCTTGGTGTTCAGAGGTTGTGATGGAATGAGCAAAGAAGACTGGGCAGGAGCTAAGGGAAGGGTCAGGAAAACCAGGGAGTGAGACTCCCAGGAGACAGTGGCTTGCTTTATATCCTGAGTGTGAATCTCTTTGTACTTTATGGGAGTATTATATGGGTTGTTTCCCTGCAGAAGAACTTATTTAAGACAAATTGTCACTAAATCTCTACCACTTAGTGCAGTCCCTATCACATAGTATTAGTGCAGATATTTGTTTGAATGAATGAGCTGCATTAGTAGGTCCTAGGTATTGGGTGCTTACAGTATGCCAAGAGAGTTGCATTGTGCCTTGATCTTTGGCTGTATGTGTGAGTAAGCCAGTGAAAACTAGGGGATCCTGACGACTGTGCTGTACTTATTTCCAGAATTACAGTGCAGCTCACTGTTTCCATACCACCACCCTAGGCCAAACCATGGTCATCTCTTGCTTGGATTATTATAAAAGCCCACCATTTCTGGCTTTTTGTTTTTGCATCCTTGCTTACTAATGATCTGTCTAGCACTTACAAGAATTCTTGGCATGAGGTCCATGTGGAATGATCACACTAGCCGTCTTTGAGTACCTGTGTGACTCTGGTGGGGAGACTGCCTTTCCCAGTGTTGCTTAATTGGTACCTGTGTCATCTGCCGCTCTCTTTCCTGCACTAGGGCTATACTTGCATTTTTCTCTCTGTCTTGAAGATTCCAACTCTATTCCCACCACTCAGCTTGTGCATTTTCTCTTCCTTCTGTGTCGATTGTCCTCCCTCTTTATTTTCCCTGTTTTTTTCCCCCCCATGACAGGCTCCTTGCATCATTGGGGCCCTGTTCAAATATCTGCTCGTTAGAGAAATTTCATATGACTCCCATATTCTTTAATTCCTCCACCTTCTTTTCCAATCTCTCTAGCTTGTTTCACCTTTCTTCCTCTAAGTACTTATCACATGCCAAATGCTTGTTTGTGATAGCCAAAAACTAGTTCTGCCAATCATCTTTGCACTTGTGTGATTATGGCTTGGTGTCCCCTCCCCTACCCAGGGAGACCAGAAAGATTCTGGCTTGTAGATTTGGATGGTTAGAGAGTGTTGTCATTTACTAAGATGGACAGGGCTATTTTTTTTATATTTATTTTTTAGTTGTTGGACACAATACCTTTACTTTATTTTTTTTATTTTTATGTGGTGCTGAGGATCCAACCCAGGGCCTCACACGTGCTAGGCAAGCGCTGTACCACTGAGCCACAACCCCAGCTCTGGACAGTGCTACTTGATGAAGTGTTTGAAGAGCTGTACTTTTACTGTGTGTGTCCTGGGCATTGTCTTAATGGTGTATGTTTTGGCTGATTTCTCCCTTGAATTTTGTTCTTTTAGAAAAGAAACCTTTATGATTGGTGGTTTTGAGCGTGTTGATTTTCATTTTGTTTTAATTTTGAGACAGGGCCTTGTCAAGTTGCTGAAGCTGGCCTCGAGCTTGCTATCCTCCTACCTCAGCCTCCCAAGTTGCTAGGATTATAGGCCTGGGTTACCTTGCCTTATGGTAATTATGTTGACTTTGAGGAGATGTTGAGTAGGCAACTTGTTATTTTACATTTGGATCACAGAAGGTAGGTTTGGGCAGGGCAGGTGAGATAGAGTGGGTGTGCTTCCCTTCTGTTAGTTAGTTAGCTCTTGCTGGGTGAGCCACTTAATCCCTCTGAGGCAACTTGCTCCTCTCTCAGGTGAGAATAATATCACTCACTGATTTACAAGGGTAGGATTGAATGGGAAGGCACACATGTTCCTGGTATGTAGAGGACTTACTTTAACATTATTCCATGGGTTGGGCTGGTCAGGAATGCTGTGGTTGGAGAGTCTGTTGTGTTGAGTCCTGTGTAGAGCTCTTTCCCGTGAATGTCTTCACTTACTTCTCATTGTTCCCTAGCTAAATGCTTCTGTGACTGCTCACACCACCTTCTCTTGATAAAATATACCTGCAGAGTTCCTAGTCATCCTCCCCCTTTGTTGTCCTTTGTATTTTTTAATATTTATTTTTTTAGTTATAGGTGAACACAAAGTCTTTATTTTACTTTATGTGGTGCTGAGGATCGAATCCAGTGCCTCATGCATGCTAGGTGAGCACTCTACTTCTGAGCCACAACCCCAGCCCTGTCCTTTGTATTTTTGACCCTAATTCCTTTGCCAGCTTTAGGTATTATAAATAGTCAGTGAATAAAAACCTTGATCTATTAGTATTCAGGAAATTATTTGTGTTAAAATTTCTATTTTATTTGTTGATTTTTTTTTCCAGAAACAACTCTATAGTTTTAAATTTCATAAGCTAAGACTTTCTTAAGAAGCACTGTTATTAGGTTATTGCCAATTACAAAATGAGAGAAACTCAAAACAGAGTGTATTATTCTATTCCCTTCTAAAATCTGGTTGTAAGATGGATTTTGGGTGACAGATGGCCTGGCATGCATTCTCATCCTGGAATGACACAGCTCTCTACCTCTTCAGTCATGATGGTATATACCTGTAATCCCAGCTGCTCAAGAGGCTGAGGCAGGAGGTTCAAGTTTAAGGCCAGCCTGGGTAGCTCAGTGAGATCCTGCCTCAAAATAAAAAATGCAAAGGGTGTGGAGTCGAGTATCCCACACTGATAGAGGTCAATCCCCAGTACCTCAAGGTGGGGAGGAAAGAAATGGTAAGGGTTTTAATATTCTAGTTTTTTTTTTGATTTTTAGTTGTCAGTGGACCTTTACTTTGTTTATATGCAGTGCTGAGAATCAAACTCAGTGCCTTACATGCTAGGCAGGTGCTCTACCACTGAGCCACAACCCAGCCCCAGGGTTCCAGTTCTTTAACAAAAGAATAAATTTGACTAATGCATCATTTTCTACTTTAATTAAATTATTAAAATGTAAAATTTTTATATATTAAATAATTTGATATTTTTTTTTTGAAGAGAGAGAGAGATAAATTTAATATTTATTTTTTTAGTTTTTCTGCGGATACAACATCTTTGATTGTATGTGGTGCTGAGGATCGAACCCTGGCCGCACGCATGCCAGGCGAGCGTACTACCGCTTGAGCCACATCCCCAGCCCTAATTTGCTATTTTAAATGAGTATACATTGTCAAGATTGAAAGTTTTTCTGAAGTAGGATAAAAAAATCCATTTATTTTTACTGATACACTGTAGAGATGTTTTTAATACTTTCCTTTAATGTTAAGATAGAAAATAAGTAATTAAAAATGAATCTGAGTCAGGATAAAGCACTACTTTGTTTGTAAACTGCAGGTTATTTCCTCCCTCAGTGCCCCCTTCCCCTGTCCCCAGCCGAGAATGACATCACATCATGGGATATTTACATCATTCCACTGTTATATTGTATAGATAGGATTCACAGTAATCATTTATTTTATACATAGCCTATTTTAGAATAACTAACTAAGCTAACTAACTTAGAATAACTAACTTAGCTAACTAAGTTTCACACAGAATATATAAAAATCCATACTAAATTGCCTTGGTTCCTGTGAGATGTGTTTGAAGGATAAGAAAACACTTTAAACATTTTAAAAAAATATTTAGGAAATAATTTAGTTAGAAGCATACTGTTCAGTGAGAACATTACATGTTTAGAGTGGTTAAAAAAGAACAGTTTAAAACAGGATACTCATCCATGGGAATTTTAACTTCTGACCTCATGACAAAGAAAACTGAAGTCACATCGCTTTTGTTTAATGTTAGGAGTATTGGTTCTTGGATGGCACACGGAAGCTTGGTTATAGGAACCTTAACTTGGTGGGTAGTAGTACGGTAGGTTCCATATTCTGTACGAGCATGCTGGGAACCTGTTCTTGCTGTTCCTGTCTACGTAACTTGAGATGGTGGGTATTTCATCTTTTTCTGGACTCTTGGAGCTTTCACCTGGGAGTTCTGAGGTGGGGGGACAGCCTGTGTCCCAGGAGTGCTGTGGGCCCTCCTGCTGAGTCCCTTTGTCAGGACTACTGAGGAAGTCTTTCAGAACTTGCTTGAAGATGTAGACTATTTCCCATGGCAGCACATCATTTTCTGCTAGAACTTCTCGAAATCTAGGGGGAATGCAGGAATGAATATCCAATTCAGACAATTTTTTTTGTCACGTCCCTGCAACTCCAAGTATAGCTTACATAATGTGATCGAGACTAGTTACCCACCTTTTGAGTAATCTGTACGTAGCTCTAAAATTATGCTTCTAAGTAAAGAAATTTTGATTCTAATTGAATTTCCTACCAGAGAGATATCCACAGATATTTTTATCCAGCTTATCTCTAGGGATTTTGGTATGTGGGTATTTGGTATGCATGATTAAAGAATTTATGCATTAGGTTACAATTTCCAGTCTAAATATGTGAGGAGCTTAGACCTGGGTGTAGCAAATATCGGAAGAGAACACAGTATATTTACCTGCTGAGAATAGTTCCAGTTTGGCAAGGATGAACTTGTGAACAAAGAACTTCGAGTTGTCTTTGCTCTGCAGCTGGGATGGTTGTATGGGGACTCTGGTAGTTTCTAAGCCAGTTATAATCCACACCTGTTTTTTTCACTTTTTGCTCATTTTCAATCTCTTGTATGAATCTTTCTCGCTCCTTTAGATGCCATTTTAATTCCCGAAGTAGAGTCTTTGTCACTATATCTGAGTCAGCATAGTGTGTAGGTTTGTAGGAATTGTTTTTTGGCCATTTCATCCAACCAAAGAGTGGCATTTTTAACCTGTGGAAATAGTCTCACTTGTTTATGTTTATACAGTTTTATAGTTCTGATCAGCAAATATTTGTTTGTTTATTTGAATAATAAAACTGTCAAAAAAGTGCATAAGTTTTTCAGTGGCTAGATATGCAGGTCAAAATAAGATTAGAACATGGATTAAAGTCTTCAAATTTCTACTAGGCCAGTGCCAAAAATCAAGCTTTGAAAATACTTTTGTGTAGCTAAGCAGAAGTTAAATACATAAAGTCAGAGATAATCTACAAACAATAATATCTGAAAGTAACACTTGCTATTAAAAGTTCTTCAGAGGCTTTAAAATACCAATGTATTGGAAAGGGCTGTCAAAGACATACTTTTGGTCTATGCTTTATACAGAAAAAGCTTAGAGCTTACCTTCCAAGTTGATGGATCTGATGTGGGGATGCTGCCACAGTGTACTCAAATTGATGATGAAGCTGTGTCTCATTCAGGCATATCTCGTTCTCCTGGATTTTCCTCTGTCGAATGAGCCTCCTGATTTGCCCCCTGAAACTGTATTTGAAATAAATAACTTTCTGTGTTAGGAATGAGGTTGTGATGTCTTCTTTTGGAGAGACTGCTCATTAATTCACCTTGTAAGTAAGCTAGAAGAAATGACAAAAATAACTTACTATTTAATTTTCCCAAATTATATAATGGCCTGCCTTTTGAATGCAGCTCATTCTATTTGAAAAAGGTGCCGGCAGCTATGGATACTGGTCCCAAATGCATTCCGACATGTCTTTGGTAGTGACGAAGAACATTGTCTGAAGCACCACAGATGCGCTCCTAGCTGGAGTGAAGACTGTCGCATGATGTGATGCTTTGCTGTGCATAGCTGTAGGTCACAGTTTAGTGCTGTATTTTTATGCCTGTAGAGCTCTAAAAATAACCATGTTGCTTTTATTCTTCAGCTTAACTTTCAGGCCATTTAGAAGCCAGGTCACTGTCCCCTCTAATGAAAGCAGGAAAAATAGATCAGATTTGACTATCTGCAAAATACACACTCCGAGAAGTTTTGTTGTAATTGAACAAAATAGGTAAAGCATGCTGATATCAGTCATGTGAAATATTTAGCAAATGTTATGTTCAATATTACTTTTCTTGCAGAATAGTTAGATTTGTATACTAAAGCAAGTTTAAATGCTAGAGGACATTATAAACAAGCAAGTAGGTAACTTTAACATGCACTTGATAATCTCTGGATATAACATCATAAGGCAATAATCGGTTGTTAGGAAAAAAAGAAATAGATGTAAGAATATTTAGTTTAAAGTGAAATCTTATAGTTCCTCATAGAAAGCATTTTGGTGTTTTGTCTTAGAGCTGCCGATGAAGCATGGGTTAGGTGAGTCTTGGTAGGCAGTGCTTTTTATTGTGCTGATTTTTTCTATTCAGTATTCATCTTGGGGAAGAGTAGATAGAGAAGAAAGGTCTCTGGCTCTTTGTTAAGCAACTACACAGTGATTTTTTTCTTTTATAATTTTTGTTTTTTTTCTGTTGCTTTTGTTTCCAATGAGCTGTGAAGAACAGACACTGTTCACATCAGACCTCCGTATGTGGGATGGTCCTGAGAAGCTGGATGTCAGGATCCATTACCCTCACTCAGGCTTTACCTTGTGCTGCATGCAGCACTCTGAGAAGGGAAGAATGAAGTTTATCGTGATAGAAACATCCTGCCTGATTTTATACTCAAATTGCAATGACCCTTGCCTTCTTCCTTTGAATTGCCTTCTTGTTACCGCTTTAAAATGTCTTTCTTCTGAAATGGTGATGAAAATATAACAGAGTATATTGAATATGGACAGAAACCAGGTTTCCATTTGAGGCTCTATGCAGCCTTGTTATCCCTTCCCACCTGGCTCTTTCCTTGCTACCACCCCAGTGCCAGGCCTGACTGTCCCACACTTTTGCTTGCTTTTGATCTAATTACACTGACTCTTCTTAAATGCTTATTTTTTCTCAACTATGTAGTCATACCATAATTCTTTTTCAGGGGCCAGTTTGAATACCAAATTCCAATTTAAAAAATTTTTTTGTCAGTACAGGGGATTGAACAAACGCAGAGGTGCTCTACCACTGAGCCATGCTCCTGACCTTTTATTTTTTTATTTCGAAACAGGGTCTAAGTTGCTGAAATTGGCCTCAGACTTATGATCACCTTCCTCAGACTCCCAAGTTGCTGGGAGTATAGACGTGTGCCACCATGCCAGGCTCACAGTTCTTTTCTTATCACCTCAGCTCACAGGGAGTAACCTTCTTTTGAACTTACTCATATAAACCAGTTTTTGTAGCACTTGTTGTATGCTACTTGTATTGTTCCAAATTAATTTCTTTCTTTCTCCTGATGTTATATTGAAGTAGAGACCACATATCAATCTCTAGTGTTCCTCCTACTAATATGTAGATCAAGAACGTGTGTGTTTGAAGATTGAAATAAGGAAGTACTTTTAATGAATATTTTCTGTTTATAAGGGTAAAATCAGATTAACATTGGAATTTATTAAATATTTTATTGAGTTAAATGAATTACTTCTAATGAATTATAACACTATTAGGATATTTTATGGGAAGACAGAGCTTGAACTATTAAAAAAAATCAGCTTTTGGTTGTCACAGTTTTCTAGGCATATCTTGTTAAGCTAAATGGTATAAAATTTTTAAAGAGTCCAAGTAAAATAGGGCCATGTTGTTTGTGCTGGGTGTATATGTAAAATTTCTAGAGGTATAAGGAATTATACAGAAAGGTAAGTCTGGAAAAATAAAATTAGGGAACCTTGCAAGGCAAACAGGAACAGCTTTTTAGATGGTATAATCAAAGTCATTAGATAAAGTATTCAATTGTTAGATTGCAAATAAAGAATTTTCATTATGGGGAGACTAAACTTCTGTTTTTTAATTCCTTTGCTATGGGATTAAAAGTTCTGGATTACTTTTTTTTCCAAGTTAAAAATCATATTTCTGGGCTGGGAATATAGCTCAGTTGGTAGACCGCTTGCCTCACATGCACAAGGCCCTGGGTTCAATCCTCAGCACCATAAAAACAAAATATAACCCCACATTTTTATGAGGGATTGTTTTTATAAAAACACTTTAAACTACAAGTATAAGGAAATTCAACATAAAAAAATGCTACATATGAAGCCTCTAATTTATGTCGCAATCAATAATGAATGACTGAAAACTTTCCTCCGAGATCAGGAACAGGGCAAGGATGTCCACTTCTACCATTTTTTAAAAAAATTTTTTTGTAGTTATAGATGGAAAGTATGCCTTTATTTTATTTGTTTATGTGGTGCTAAGGATCGAACCCAGTGCCTCACATGTGCTAGGTAGGTGCTCTGCCACTGAGCTATAGCCCAGCCTCTGCCACTTCTTCTATTCAGTACAGTACTGGAAGTTCTAGCTAGATCAATTATGCAAGAAAAAGAATAGAGAAAGTTGTTAATACCAAGAAGGAGTCACTGTATCAAACTCAAAGAAAGTAGAGTCAGGAGGTTCTGTATGAAGGGAGAGCCCTTGTGCACATGCCTACAGATAAGAACTGTAAAAGATTATCTGAAGGGCTCCTATGCATATAAGAGCTTTTACCAAGGCTTTTCCAAATTTTAGCTTGCTACACAAGTCACAAGGACGGCTAGCCAGATACACAAGAACACACAGCTGAAATGAAACACTGTCTTCACTAATGAACTAAGTCACTTCCTATGATAAGTGCCTGTAGCCCATGTACTCTTTGTCACAAAATAACTTTCATGTATTCTTCTTTTCATCTTTAAAAACCCTTGTCTTGGGCTGGGGGTTTAGCTCAGTGGTTGAGTGTTTACCTAGCATTCGTGAGGCCCAGGATTTGATCCCCCGTGCCACCAAACCAAACCAAATGAAAACAAAAACCTTGTTTTTCTTCACCTCCCTAAGTAGACCCATACTTTGTGTGTTCATTTTTCATTTGCACTTGCTATGCTCATTTCAAATTGAAATCATTATCATTGGAAAATCTTTTTTGTTATTTATGTTGACAAAATGAAAGTCATTGAATTGAATAGTAAGGAGTAAAATTATCTCTCTACAGTTAATGTGATCTTACATGGAGAAAGCACTAAAGGATCCACATATACAAAAACCAGTGAGAACTAATAACAGGTAACAGGATACAAAGTTAACACACAAAAATCAGTTGTATTTGTATACACTAGAAATAAACATAAACAACACCAAAAAGCATAGAATACTTATGAACCAAGAAAGCAAAAGATTCATCTGATGAAAAGTACAAAAGATTGCTTAAAGAAGGAACACAAGTGGAAATGCCCCATATTGATGGGTTGGGAGATCTAATATTGTTTAGATGTCAGTTCCACAGCTTTATTGCAATCTCTTATCAAAAAATCTTGTGATGTATTTTGCAGGAATAGGAGAACCCATCTTAAATTCATATGGGATCTTAAGTGACTTTAGATAGCTAAATCTGTCTTGAAAAAGAGTAAAACTGGAGGTACTCACATTTCCTAATTTCAAACCTTACTACAGAGCTATAGTAATTAAAAAAATGTAGTGCTAGAATAAAGGCATACATTCCAATGGAGTAGATTAGTGAAAGCCCAGAAATAAACCTTTGCATATATGGTGGAATGATTTCTGTAAGGATGCCAAGACCATTTAAGGTGAAAAGACAGTTTTATTTCTCAACAAATGAAGTTAAAAACAAAACAAAACTGGATATCCATAGGCAAAGAAGGAAATTGGATCCTTGCCTTTTGCCATATAAAAATTAACTAAAAATAGATGAAAGACCTAATGTGAGACATAAAACTGAAACTCTTAAGACTTCATGTCATTGGATTTGGCAGTGATTTCTTGCATATGACACTGAAAACCCAAAGAATAAAAGAAAAAAATAAGTAAGTTGGATTTCAGGAAAATTAACATTTGTACGTCAAGAGACCGTTGGCAGAGTCAAAAAGCAGTTCCTGGAGTG